TCTATCTATCTATCTATCTATCTATCTATCTATCTATCTATCTATCTATCTCAGCTGTGATGGCACAGTGATTAGAATACAGCATTGGAGACTGAGTCTGCTGACTGCCAGCAGTTCAATTCTCACCGGGTCAAGAATGACTCAGCCTTTCATCCTTCTGAGGCCCGTAAAACAAGGACCCAGACTGTTGGGGGCGACAGGATGACTCTGTAAATTGCTTAGAGAGAACTGTAAAAGCACTGTGAAGTGGCATATAAGTCTAAGGGCAATTGCTATTGCTATAATGTGGCCTCAAGTAAGTGCCTGATCTGGATAGAAAACAGGCAATGTCCTATGTTAACACTACAATTTAATGCCAGATTTTACATGCTTGTTGGTCCCTTTCATCTACAATCAACAATCTGTAATTGACAGCCCTTTCTATTCACTCTCCTACAAATTTACCTCTGCTGTTAGATCTTGTACTGTCGTGTTATTTATGCTGTTTTATTTTTTATTATTAGTTGAATCATAAATAAAAATACAATAGTATAAATTAGCTTTTCTGCCGAGCAATTTACTATTAAAGAACGGGGTATACATTTAGAAATAAAAAAGGTTAGTGGAGTATGAAGAATAAGTCATAAAAAAGAGTTTGGCAACAATATCTGGTAGACGAGATAGGAAAAGGGTTAGAGTAAAGAACTGTGGAAAGAAAGAAGGGGAAAAACGTGGAGAGAGAGAAGGAAGAAGGGGGAAAATGCATCTCCAGCCTGGGTCAAACGCCCACTGTGGCCACACACCCACCCTGGGCCTCCGAGGTCAAATACAACCCTGATGCTGCAGTGTGAAAAACAGTCCTTAGCCACTTTTTTTTCTGTGCCGACGTAACTCTGAACAGTCAATAAATGGACTTTTGTAAGTTTAGGGCTACCTACATCCACTTCCTGGGAAAATCAGGTGGAGGCCAGAATCAGGTGGAGTCGCCCCCACCGTGTTCTGCCTCCGAGCCCTTTCGGTGCGTCTTTTGCTGAACATTCCTGGTGTGCCAGAGAGCGGGTGGATAGGAGGCCAAATTGGCTGGCCTCCAAGCAGAAAAAAGCATTCTTGGTTTTGCAAGGCCAGAAGCTTTGGCAAAGAGCCGCTTTCGGAGGAAAGCCGCGCCCAGACTGCTGTTCCCTGTCGGCCGCTGGCCCCTCCAGCAACCTCATCAGGAGGAGGAAGAGGAGCCAGAGTCAGACAAACTGAGAGCTCCGAGGGGGAGGAGGGAATGGAGCTGGCAGAGAGACAGAGAGACACAGAGAGAGAGAGAGAGACAGAG